ATATGGTTGAATTTATGTGGAATCTGAGATGTAGGGATAAACCTATGATTATTAAATATTTATTTAAGTATAAATAGGTATTTTTGAGGTTATAAAAAGGTGATTTGAGGCTTCAGGATAATTCTAAAATTTTTAATTTATTTTTGGATGAATTTTTAGAATATAAAAGGATGAAATTGTGATACTAGAAGTGATTTGAGGATAAAAAAATAGTTTATTAGGGTACGAGAATTTTAGAAAAGAATTTGAAAAGTTAAATGAGGTATAAATCTTAAATTAGTGTTAATATAGATTATAGATCTAAGACTTTCTAACTCTTTAAATTAGAGTTATTTATTTTAATGTAAAATTAATATATAGTATTGTGAAATAATTATGTAGATTATATTGACAAAGATAGTGGTGAAAAAGGAGTTGTGAAGGGGAACTTGTTATTCAAGACACAAGGTAACCATTATTAATATGTTGTGATGGGTGTGTTTGTGAATGGTTATGTATTGTTTTATTATTTAGAAAAATTATGAATTTATTGAAAATAAATACTATATATACTTGTTTGAAATTATTGCCAAGTGGGTTAAAAATTTATTTTTGTTTATCATAATGAGATATTATTGTTCGGATATATTCCTATTCAGATATTTGAATGATGCATGACTTGTCAGGGTATTTTAATGTATGGTGTTAATGGAAATTTCTGTTCGGTTAATTATTACCACATGGTAAGCCCTCATTAGACCCAATGAGTGCGTGTTGCTTGGTCCAACTCACCTTTGGCCGGGTGATTTGGCGTCCGAGCATGGCGAAAGGAGGATATAAGGTGCAGTCATGCAAATTAAATACTTGTTCGGTTTGTTTGAAAATATTGTTCGGTTAAATATTTTGTGTACCCACTTAGCAATCGCATGATTAGTTACAACCGCATGCATTATTACATATTAATTTTTGGTTACTGGGACTTTTAAGTCTCATTCCCTGTGGTTAATATTTTTACAGGATCGAGTCCGGCCGAGAAAGCACCAGAGGTGTAACTATGGTGTATGAGACACCATCTTTTACGTTGCCTCTTATTTTGGATTATACAATGTATCTTGTGCCAACTTAGGACATATCTTCTTTGTGAAGCATGTAAACTCTAATCCTTTTAATTAAAAGTATTTATATGACCAAGAGGATTATGTCTGTCCCTCTTGATTTATGATCTGATTTGAATATCATGCCATGAGGATTATGTCTGTCCCTCATGGTTTTAATTGCCTTTTTGGATATTTAAGACTTGTGTTATGTCTTGGATGTTTCATGGTAAGAAAATTTTCTACCATGATAATGGTTTTAATAATTTGCGAAAAAACGGTTTGTAAATTTGAGGGTGTTACAGGGACAAATAACATCTTAAAGAACTCCATTCTATTTAAAAGAGTCACAAATATCAAAAAAGTTGACCAAATGTCTATTAGGGTCCTTATCTAGATTTTGTACAAATTGGCCATTCATCTCAATTATCTTAAGTATGGTTTGCTTAATCTCAAAGTTGTTTGTTTGGAAGTCAGGCATTTTAATCCTATACTAATATCCTCTAGCTTGTCTATCCAAGAAACCATTAACACAAGGCCTATCATTCTCATCCTCACCCATTTCTTCTTTCGTAACATTTTTACCAGTTTGAGGTTAAGTGATTTTCAAGATTTCTTTAAGACTACTTGTTCTCATAAGTGTCTTTTTCAACTTGCATAATAAAAAAGAAGTAGATCAAAGATCTAACTGCACGAACAAGAGAAAATAAGATATCAAAATAAATGCTCAGCTAAAATTACTCAAGGTCCTATATTTTTAATCACCAATTGCCTAGATTATTCAACAATAGTGCCAAAAACTTGATGCACATAAATATGTTTTACTATAAGTGTACGAGTTAATATGCAATATGTTGGTATGTTAACGTTGATTTCACGAGAAATCAAGTAAAATAGCGACTTAGCAAAAAAATTTCATTTTCATTTAAGTTGAGCAAAGCAAAATTTAAATTTGATAATGCAAAATAAAAATTGAAGTTATAAAATTGCACTACAATTAAAGTTTCAACAACCATAGCTAATCAAGACAACCTAAGGTGGCTAATTCCCTTTTCAAATCATAGATCATGTAATGACCCAAATAAATTTATTAAATATTAATTTGTTAATCTAGAGTATTAATAGGATAATTATCTTCCAATTAATTACCCCTTTCTTGAATTAATATGCTATTTCTAATACAAATAATCAAGAGGAAAAAAGGCACAAACTCACTCTAATGTGATTATATGGGTCCAATAGGTATATTCCTATACTATTAGAAAATTAGAAATAATTATAATCTCACGTTACTCAAGCTAATGATCTAATCTAAATTTTTCTCTCCTAAAGCAAAATCTAAACCCCTAATTTTACACTCAATTATGGTCAAGTATTAAGTAGATAAATAAGCACAAGATTAAGTAAACAAAACTAATATTAAACCTAAATAAGTTGTTCAAACATGCTCTAATTTAAGAATTAGTTCATAGCTACCCTATATTAAGAGAAAATCAGCCATACATGGTTCTAGTGACAGCAAAAATTAGCAATATATATATATATATAGTAAATTAAAGAGAAGAAGGAGAAAAAAAGCTTAATCGAAGCAATCTTGAGCGAAACACTTAATTTTTCACTAAACCCAAGCTTCTCCAACCCTCTTTTAACTCTTTTTCCTCTACTTAGATGCTCTGTAGCTGTTGGAAGCGAGTAATAGTAAAAAAATGAGGTCTTCAACCCTAAAAGTTTGCTGAAGATCAAAACTATACATTTTATTAAAATTGTACTTCACTGCAGTGAAATGTGTTTTTGCTGCAGCAAATATGACCTATTTAGATTTTCTTTTTAGATTTACTTTTTAGATTTACTTCCTTGGACTTGGGACATGAAATTTTCATCTTTAGGCCCATTAATTGGGCCTCCTTACATGTATAAAAACTCAAAATTAATGATAAAACTAATCCACTAACTTGCAATCACATTTCCATGCCCATTCTCATACATAAGCATCCACTCAATCATATTTTTGCTAATCAATTCAAATAAATGACTTTCAATTACATTAAAAATACTAATAAATTTTGTAAAATATTGAAAGTCATCACTTGAGTTCCTCCTTTTAACTGTTATTATAAATTACTCCTTCTAAACTATAATATAAGTTTTCTATATGCTTTATTTGATTCAAAATATAAGATTTTGAATAGATATTATATATTTTTTCTAATTACACCTTACTTAATTGAATAATTAATATCATATTTATTATACTCAAGAGTATAAGTGAAAAGATATAAAATTTTTTAGAAAATCAAGATTCTAATCAATTTTTTTAAAAGCATAATTTAGTTATTAATAACTTACATTATAGTGTGGAAAGAGTATAACAGAAATTCATGACCCCTTCACCCTCCTGTCACTTCAAACAAAAGCATTAGTGTTTAACTTCACAAAGCGCTCCTCCTATTACTTCAATTCTTTTTGTTCAGTTTGAGAGAGCAAGATCACGTCCATGACTGCCCTGAAGACACAGTTTTAGTAGAGAAATGCTCTCAGCTAACTCCTCAAAGCCAACAAATTTGTTACAACTTGTAGTACAGATATCCCAATGAATATACCCAAATGATAGATTCCAAGGTTACGCGGTGATTTAATCCATTAACCTCTTTCTTCAAGGGGTAGGATCATGTTACTACCATTTACTCAAAAACAGATAATTCTCACCAATGCTTTGCATGTTCACAAGCTAATAAAGCTACGAGAAAAATTTATCTGTTTAGTCTTATATATTTAAATTACTTGCTTTTAATAGTTAAATTAAGACATTTATATTTTTTAATCAATTATTTATTTTTTAACAAATTCTTAATACTAACATTATTAATACATTAAAATTTACCTATATTTATTTAATTAAATATAAATATATAAAATTAAATACACAACTCTTGCCATAAACTTGTGTCATGGCTTGTCAAAAAAAGTTGTGTCACGGACCTCATGGCTACGGATCGAAGCGTTACGAAAACAAATTATTTCACATTTAAAAGACTATTTATTACCACGATTTTTTTAAACAAACAAGTCAAATAATTCTAAATTTCATTTGTATAAAAAAAATACTAAATTTAAATTTTAACTTTTGGGATAGTTAAGCAATATTATATGAAAGAAATTGTAATTTAAAATTTGGCTTGGTTTCTTTGAGACAGTAAAAAAGCATTGTAAGGAAAAAAAAAAATTAAATGTCGTCCAGACATTAAAAATAGATCAAAAAGATTAATATGGTTAGATGTAGTTATATCCATATAACTATAAGTAAATTTGACTTCATCAATAATAATAAGGACTAATATTACAGATTAATAAAACTTAAAAGACTTATAGGACAAAATTACATGGATTAATACTAAAACATGGTAGGAGTACATAGATCAGTTATTTTATTTTTCTAACTAAAAAATACTCCCTCTGTTCAAGGAAAAATATAAAATATTTTTAATTAAATATTACTTTTTAATAAAGTAATTACCTGCTTTCAAACTAACCATATCTTTTTATATTTACTCATATTAAACATTTCACAATAAAAAAAATCATTATCAATAGAAATATTTTAAAAAAAATAGTAATTATGTTTCAAAAAATTTAAAAATATTTTATATTTTTAAATATATGATTACTAAAAAATATTTTATATTTTTAAACTTTAGGGTAAGAGCATGCGATTTAACGTGGGATTTGAAATATGAAGGAAAGCCAGATAGTGCTGACATGTCCACTGAACTTGCTAGCTTGTAATCGAGAAACGCAGGGACGGCAGCCCAAGATCTTATCCATTCGAGAAGTCCAATGAAACAGGGCCACGTCAGAGCGCAGTATCTCCGTCTATCCAAACGGTGACAGGCTCTGAAGCCACAAATGTGTCATGTGGCTGCGTCGAGAATAAAAATGAGTGGGTTGTTATATCAGCAACCGAACAGATCCCTCATCGCAAAGATTTGATCTCTAGAGATTCCAGAAATGGCCACCTCCGTCATGACTTCCCTCCCTCAATTCAGTGGCCTCAGACCCCAAGTCTCTGCTGCTCCGGTTCACAACCTGGTTCGTCTCCGTCCTCTGATCTTCACTTTCTCTGCGTTTCTGATGTAATTGTATCCACTTGTTCGTGAGCTATAAGGAATTTGATTTTCAGGTTTGGGTAAAGAATGAAGAAACATGTTCATTTTGCAGGTTGCTGTGCCCATGAGGAGGAAGGGGCAAGGAGCTTTGGGAGCTCGCTGTGATTTCATTGGTTCCCCCACAAATCTGGTATTTCTTTAGTGCTCTCCAGGAAAGGATACTGAAATTTTTATCTTTTTAAAAAGAGCAATTAAAAGCTTTTTCACTGAATTTTTCTTTTTTTAAACCACTCATCCCGTACTTCTAATTTTAACCATAGTCTTCTAATTTTTTCCTATCAAATCGACCCATGTGAATTTTATTATGTTAATATTATTAATTACAAAAATTTGTTAGAAATTAAATAATCTATAAAAGATAATTATGTCTTGATTTAAATTTATAAAGTTAAGTGTATATATTTTTCCCTTGCATATTTTCAACGCTAGTTTTATCATTTTCGATGCTGAATTCTTCACTAGTTATCCTAAACGTTTTTAATACTATTCTGTTAAAAAATATAAAAATATAAAATATTTTTAATCAAATTTTACTAAAAATAATTATTTATTTTTAAATTAATCTTATCTTTTTATATTTAATTCTATTAAACATCCTACAATAAATACAAAGTCATTATGGTCATTTAAAAAAAAATCATAATTATACATCGAAAGATTAAAAATTAAAAATGTCTTATATTTTTAAACATCTAATCCTTAAAAAAAATACCTTATATTTTTTAACGGAATGAGTACTCATTTTTATATTTTCAACATTTATTTTTTATTGTTAAGTATTGAAAATAAACGTGAAGAATGAGTATTAAGAACATACAAGATAACTATTGAAAAATTTAAAAATAACTGATGAAATGTAAGTATTGAAAATAAAATTTAAATCCAGCTGAGTATGATGAGCTACCGTAGTCTGAAATTTCAAAATTTCAAGGTTGAGTATAATTAATATTGGAATTTAATTTTTCCTTTCTTTATAATTACAAATTCGTAGATGAATGGTTGAGAAAGGGTGGACAATGATGAGATTGTTGTGTGTGTGTGTGTGAATGTGGATGAGCAGATTATGGTGGCGTCAACAACCTTGATGTTGTTTGCCGGAAGGTTCGGGTTGGCTCCGTCGGCAAACAGGAAGGCCACGGCGGGGCTCAAGCTTGAAGTCAGGGACTCCGGCTTGCAGACCGGCGACCCTGCTGGTTTCACCCTCGCCGACACCTTGGCCTGCGGCACCGTCGGCCACATCATCGGCGTCGGCGTGTTCTTGGTCTCAAAAACATAGGTGCTCTGTAAACATCGCAATATACTTTTCTTTCTAATCCATCTCTTAATCTACTCTTCATTTCCTCGTTACTTTGATCATCGTCTCAACCTGTCCCAACGTCGTAGAAATTTAAAATCTAAACAGTAAAAATTATTTTGATGTGAAGAGGAAGAGAACAAGCCGAAGTGCATTGGATTCATTTTTAGCGCCATTTTTGAGAATATGAATATAATTCTCAAGAACTGGTGGCCACGTACAGAATTCTCTCTCTAGAGAACGTATAGAAGAGTCAATTCAATGCACCAAATAGGGTATTAAACGCTTGATATGAATTTTGCGGGGTATTACATAGGATCCGTTTGATTTTCTTACTTTTTACATTCAAAAAATAAAATTTTATTTTTATAAAATTAAAAATTATTTAAATAAAATATTTTATAAAAAAATATATTTTAAAAGTATATTCAAACAGTAATTAAAAATATATTTTTAAAATATAATTATTTAAAATTTTTAAAAAATAAATTAAAAAATAAAATGTTATTTAATCATACTACTTTAAATTTAATCTCTTATTTTTTATTTAAAAAATTATTAATTTATTAAAAAATAATTATTATTTCAATAATAATAATTAAGTATCTGATTTTAGCATTTTAAATTAAATAATTAATTATATTAATTTTTAACATTAATGTATAATAAAAAATACAAATCTTTATCATATTTTTTAAAATTATAAATTAAAAAAATATAAAAAATTAGAGATCAAATTTTTAACATTATAGATTAAAATTTATGTTATTTAAAATATTTATCACATTTTTTAAATATTTTAAATATATTATATTTGTATAATAAAAGTTATAAATCGTCATAAATTAATGTCTTTTTTAATAATTGTACATTTAAAAACACATTTTAATATCACAAACCAAATAATTTTTAGTGTAGCAAACTAACTTTTAAAAAAATATATCAAAATACAAATTTCATTACAACAACTAACTTTTATTAAATTGATTTTTATCAAATGAACTTTTATCAAATAAATTTTTGACAAATTAAAAACAAAACATACACGAGCATCTAAAAATGCCTTGAAATGATTTCCTTATAATAGGATTAGTTGAATTAAATTGAAAAAATATAACTTTTGACACTTGTATTTTGTTCGTGCTTTGTTAAAAACCCTTACATTTTTTTCTCAATATTTTAAGTAACTAAATTTTTATTTTTTGATATTTAATGTCCCTTGCACCAAAATATAAAAATATAAGAATTTAAAATACAAAAAAAATACAATATATAATAAAACACGAGCAAAATCATTGCTCAAAAGTTATACTTTTCCAATTAAATTACAGGTTATATTATTTATAATTTATAAATAATACCATCTTGATTTGATATTAAATATGAAAATTGATACACATATGTCTTATTTTCGCGGCAAACGAATCAATATCACCGAAAAAGAAAAAGCCGACTATAAAGGAAACTAGTATCCAGTAAAGAAATAGTGTTTGTTCTGCTCAGCATTCCAAAATACCAAATTAGACGTTACGATATAAGATTTACTAGCAACAAAAGTTGAATCATAAAATGGTGACAATTCTTTGGTCTCTCGATTCAAAAAGTGAAGGAGAAACCATTCTTTATTAGGTCTTTGTCATCTTACTAAAAAAAATTCAGTTTGCTTACCAAGAAAAAACATCACATTTTGTAATACAATTCCTTTTTTCCCCATTCCATTCTGTTTTATTATAGTCATTAAACAAGACTAATGAAGCCTATTAGCAATTAAAATAATCATCAACATATAAATCCACAGTAAATCACATCATTTATAAAGTATGCAAATAATACAACTTATTTATAAAAATTCTGAGCCATATACCAGGAGCCAGCATCTGACACAAAACGAAGACCTTTTTGAAGCCGGAATGAGGGCGAGAATATTGATAAACTGAGTTTAAAAATTGTAACAGATTCATATGGAACAAGGTATCTAAATATATTATAAGGCATCGGTCACCGCTTAGTGTGGCACCATAAATAAATACAGCTCTTTTCAATAATATTTTCTCAAATGATCCTACAAATTCAACTGCAAAATATATTCAAAATATTTAACATTCCTAATAACAGCATTACCATATAATTCCTCCAAGTACTTGTCGACAGTGTCAATTTAAGACGCCAAATCTGTCAGATAACCAAAATGAGAATTAATCCATTGACAAAACTTCGATTTACAAATAGTAAAAAGATCAACAAGTTACATTTTGTGCGGCCGCGCCTAGACCTCTTTGCAGTAACATATCTAAACATGTGACTGAAGAGCAGACTACACTGGTTTTAAAAGATCAAACCAATGGGAGAGAGATGGAAGGAGGAATTCTTTGATTATATCTTAATACAATACTTGAATTAAGTAAGCAAAAATTCTCTGGCGCTGAATATTTATTTCCCTATTCCTAATTTACTTCAGAAGCCAAGAGTTCCATGTGCTCGGCTAGAGATTCCAAACCCTGCAACTTCTCCAAATGAATATCATTAGCATATACTTCCCATCCACTCTTCTGAGTTTTGTCCATTTCTGGAATCAACCCAATACAATTTTGGGATTTATCAGTCAGCGTTTCACATATAGCAGGCTCAATCTCCATTCTGTTGTTGGTGGGCCTGTCACTTTCCGGATTTGAATCTTCAGCATTTTCAGCAAAGGGACTGCCTAAAAGGAGCCGTTCCCAGGCATTATCATCAGGTGAATCTGGTAGAATAAATGGAGAATGATTGTCTATTTGACACAATTTTTCGTCCATGAGGACCTTCAAGAAGTCAGAATTGATGAAGAAATCTTTCAACCCATCAGTACAGAGATTGGGTTCCAGTTGCTCATCTGAAACAAGAGATGGTGTGACTACAGGCTTCAATTTTTCACTCAAAGGTGGTTGATACTTCATTAACATCCCATCAGAAGCAACCGGTTGAACATCTTCTACACCGTGTTCCAACATATTGCTTGTCTCAGTTGTACGCCAAGCGTTTTCCTTGCGCTGAAGCAGCTGGACCATGAACCCAGGGACTTGCATTGCCATGACTAAGAATGATAACATCTGTTGCTGATTCTTTTCCATTCCGTGAAGTCGATTTGTCAGGAGCAGCAACTTGTTCTTCGATGATTCCTGGTGCTGCCTAACTTTAACCAACTCCTGTGTAAGAGCATTTCTATCAGTTTTCAAATTCTCGACTTCTTTCCATAGGTTATGGTTTTTAACTTCTTGACAAGGCACATCACGGTTCTCTTGCTGCTGTGATGACTTTTGCTGATATGCAATGTGTGGATGTTTTCTTCTCAATATATTCTTCAGTAAATGCTTTTGACCTCTGATAAAGTCATCATTGGCAAATTCCCAGCGATCTGTATCAGTTTTCCTGAAACCCTGATAGTTCTTACAGTGAGTTATTACTGACTTTTAAAATCATACAAGAAATTAACTTGCATACAAATAATAAGAACAGAAAATATTAGAACCGAAAAAGAAAGAACAGAAAATATGCACTGTATGATATCTTCAAGTAAATAGGTCAATAAGTAAAAGGAAAACCAGCTAGGATCCTTGATCATAACTCACCTTATGCTTTTATATCATATCATGATCAAGTTAAGTGAATAAATCATCCATTCATTTGATTTCACAACATTCTGTCCAGGTAAACAGTTTCAAGTTGGAAGTCGAAGATGCATTAAAATACTTACAAGGTTCAAGTTTTCTTTTCTTTTCTTTCTCTTTTTTAACCCGTCCCAAAAAAAGAGTAAAGTTTGTTAATGTTGATTTCTATGACAAGTAAAGAACAAACACTAAAAGAACATAATCAAGCTTCTGGGATTCATGTACAGAAGAGAAAGATAACTATAATTGTAATACACAAAGGATGGGTATGTAAGGGGCAACTGATTGCATAAACCATCGAGAATACATAAACCTTTGCAATAATATTATGGAAACGCTAAAATTTCTAATAACTGATACAATGTTCTGAACTAATTTCAAGGCAATATGATCCTTCACATTAGTCAAAATTAATAAAACATGATAAATAAGCAATGACTATATGATTTTTCACACCAAAAATTGTTCAGCTCTACGGTAATGTGCAGAAATTCGAATCAGGTTAAATAGTTTATTCTGCTGTAATCAGGATTTGAGCCCTCACAACTGCCACATTTGTTTTTCCAAATTATGAATGAGTCACCCATGTCAATGTTTTCACCATGAATTGGACAACACTGAACTAGTATATTACTGAGACTATAAGTTACCCTAGCCCCAAAGCTGAACTTATAAGTATTAACTGACCATAGTGAAAGGACTAGGCTTTGCCAATGAAATGTGTCAATTTGTATTTTCTGTATTAGAAGTAGAAATCTTGCTAGGGTTAATACAGATTTGCAATTCACAAGAGGAACACATCATAATGCTGATCAATCTAGCTTTATCAAGATTCACCAAGCATCACCTTCGCTTTTTGACGTAGAATGAAAAATCAAGCTATACTTGAAGGATACGGGGGATGCTGAGGAGAGTTTATGTCCATAATATGAACTATCTATGATGGAAAATTTTTCTTCCTCCCATGCAAATCCTAGCTGAAACAAACCTAGATTAACAAGTCAGATTCTCACACATCCATATTCTCACACCTCGCTTGACACTTCTCTCCTGGGGCCAAATCTATCTTACAATGAAGTAATGAACAATTACAACAAACCTTATACTCCCTCAAGAGTATAATATATGTCAATGGTAACTAATTCACGTTTTACAAAAAAATATTAGTTGAAGCCTTGTTTTTCTAAAAATGTCCACATCTTTACATTTATGCCCTTAAGTTTTCCTAGTAACACATGCAGGGTCTTTAAGTATGAAGCATTTGAAAACAATGATTATAAAAAAAGCAAGAGTATAAATGGTAAAAAAACATAAAATTTAACCAACACTCTGTATTTTGGACCAAGAGGTGCTTCTAAAAAGTAGCTTATATTATGGTCCGGAGGGAGCAACGAAAGTACAGAACAATGCAGCACACATATTATCCAAGAGAAACTTTATTTCAAAGCAACGCAAAAGGTAAGAAAAAATAATGAGAAGAAAAGAAGGAAAGAAAGAAAGAAAAAGAGACTTGGTATTCAAAATCCCAATCTTCCATCCAAAACCACTTCCCCACAGCATTTGAAGAAGTTGATTAGATCTAGATACAAAAAGGGAGAAAGCAAAATCTAAGACCCTGCATTCAAGAAGTAAAAGAACAACAACTATCTTATGCTTTGTGTACATCTCTAAAAGTATATATATATATATATATATTAAAGTTAAACAGAATACCAGCGTAGCCAGAATATTCATAATAAACTTCACTAACCATGGCTGCCAGGTTTGGGAAAAGGAAAAGGGAAGTTACCATTGCTACTTTCCAGTCGTATCAAGATGAAGTAAAAAACTAAGGTGATATCATCTTCTGAAGGTTCCAAAATTTTCCTTCTTTCCTAAGGGAGTTCTCTTGCATCCCACAAGGCCCCATTACCATATTGTAACAGAATAATGACAATATAATATCACTATTCCCACAAGAAAATGCCCCAGCATCTCAACAAACAGACAGGTCATGTGCGACTGTTTCAATTTGTCCATTTCACGGTGACTTGTTGAGCTTGTGACATTTGTAGAGCTAGCAACAATTCTTGTAACATAAAAATCTAACCCCAGGCAAAACTAATATTTCAAAATACTTAAATGTAAATCCGTTGCAAGCAAAACTCTCTATCCCCAGGCATCATCAATGGGTATAAAGAATATTCTAGGATCAGGTGACGGAGCAGCATTCCGATGCTAATGTTTGAAAGGTTTGAGGTTTTCCTTATATCGGCAAAAAGGTGCCCTTCATTTTCAACTATGTAATGCGTATATGAAATAGCAAAATACTTTGCAGTAGAAAACCCACTGAAAGCACAGCACAAACATCATCAAAGAAATCCTTAAAAACCCGATTTGACCCAGCCTCAGAAGCACTACTACACAAACGCTATTACAATTACGGAGTAATTTGAAGCGTTGTGTCACATAAGATACTGAGTGTTGGATGCAAATAGACACCATATATATATGGCTCAATTTTAAAGCATCGGTGTTTCAAACGACCTGATTAAGCAATATATATATATAAAAAAATACAAACAATACAACGAAACAGAAAAATCCGAAACTCGACATTTCAAAACAACCGAGCAAGCAACGAAGGAAGGAAAAATGAAAGAAGATACCCACATAAATATTAAGTTGCCTGATGAAACTGGAGAAATTGTTGTGCTTGAAATACTTGGGAAGCAAACGAACGGAGAACTCAGTCATGTCCCAGATGATAAAACTGTCATTACTTTTGCTCCAGGATATAAGCGAGTCGGTCGACTCATCGTCCACCATCTCATAACATTTTTTCAGGAAAGGCGCCACAGAACCGAAACCATTGTCGGCCGATTTCACCATCCCTTAGACAAATTCCCAACAAGAAATCCCGATTCGCGCAAAAACAGTCGGATTAACCTGAATTCTAAACCCAAGGTGCAGGCAAAGTCTTGGTCGTTCACTTACTTTTGTAGAGATGGAAAGAGAGAGAGGACTAGAGAAGCACAACACTGAACAGTGAAGAAATGGAGGGGAAATTTCGCGTGTAACGCTGTTGCTGGAGAAGGGCGGTTCAGAAACTTGGAATATCACGATGACTTGAGGACTGGGCAATTTCGCTTTCGGTTCGGCTTTATGTGGGGAAAGACCCAAGAGGCGAAGACCAGCAATAAATAAATAAATATTTTTCCCCCTCTAGAAAATAAGAGAGAGAGTGATAAATAAATCCTTTGAAGAGTGACAACTTAATCCCACAAATTGTGATCATATTTTTTAAGCTTGAAGGAACTTAATTATGATTAAAATTTTTAATACAATAATTAAAAATAAATTTTAATTTAAAAAATTAAAAAAATGATGAGAAAAAATTATAAATATTTAAATCGTCATTTAATGGATCAAATTTGTGAATTACAAAATAAAAATTGTAAACTAAAAAAACTTGGGAAAATAACAAAAAAGTTCTTTCAAATTATATTAATAATAATATAGTTATTTGAAATGTCATAATTTTGCTGAAATTCTTCAAGACCTCTTTGTCAATGAATTTATAAATTAAAAAGATTATTTTATTCTTATTAATAATTTTTTATTTACTATTTAATTTTTGTAATTCTTTGAATAAAAATTATAATTCTTTAAATAAAAATTGTAAATGAAGTATGTTATTTTGAGAACTTACTTTTTAATAATAGAAGTTATATTTGACAAATTTTGATTTTTTGTCTAACTCTTGAGATTCACATAACAAAAGTTATTATTTTTTACGTAAAAATTATAATTAAGACTTATTTTTTTAATAACAAAAATTACATGTGATAACTTGTGATTTTTTATTTAACTCTTACGATTCATAGAATAAAAGTTGCGATTTCTTAAATAAAATTTATAATTGATACTTATTATTTTTAGTAAGAATAAAATAATTTTTTTATTTTAAAATTTATTGACACAAAAGTTCTTACTTTCTAAGGATTTCATTGAAATTATAATATTTTTAATGATTAAATTATCATTTATCTAATTCAGAGGAGTATATTATCATTTTCTAAAAAAATTGTTAACACTTTATTTATTGAAAAAAAATGTTGAAAGAAAATTATAAATATTTAAACCACTTTAATGGTTTGTTGAATTAGAATTGCAAATTTCAAAATTAAAATTGTGAATAAAAAACTTTATTGTATTATTTTAAATTAAAAGATATTTTTGTCATTTCATAGAAAAATTTAATAACAATTAAGTCTCTTTAAATTTAAAACATTAAAGATATTATTACATTTCACAGGTTCAAAATATTATTTTTTTTGGAAGAATTTATTTATCATTATCCCACTAAACAATCAAGTTATCAAAAAAAAAATGTAGATACATATCTTACAATTTTCACAAAGTACAAATTTATAGAGTGCGTCAAGATACAGATCATTTTCAGTGTTTTCTTCTCTTTTGTCTTTTTTTTTTTTTAATGCCACAGATCCTTTCATGGGAAAAAAATGGGCCTTTGGAAGGTACAAAAAAAAAAATGAAAAAGAAGGGCCAATGCAATTAAACTACACGGCTTGACCAAGTTGATGGAGGGAGAATGCACCGAATTTGCCACCAATCACAGCTATTGCTTTTCCAACCGTCCTTTTCTCTCTCTTGTATATGTTCACAGGAAAATGACCGTAACTTTGGGACATTTTACATTTTAGAGATGATGGTAGAGAAGGATCTCAAATTTTAATATATTAACAAAAGGATTTTAAAAAGAGAAAATATAATTATCAATTTTTATAATTTTATCAACTTTTGCTTTTAATTTTTATAATTTTTTTAGTATTTTAAATTTTACTTCAACAAAATTGAGTAACGTTTGTTATTTAAGTCCTAATAATTTTAATATTTTTAATGTTTTTAGTGTGTGTATAGCTTTTAGTTTGCTAAAAGTCTATTTGACAAAAGTCAGTTTGATAAAAGTTAATTGTTATAAAAAATTTATATTTGAATAAATTTTTTTAAAAATCAGTTTAATAAGTTAAAAGTTGTTTGAATTAATAATGATTTATGTTTTTAAATTATACTTTTGAATATGTAATGATAAAAAGGACATTGATTTATCATAGTTGGTAATGTTTGTTATACAAATATAATATATTAGAAATTAGAAATGTTTAAAACATGTGAAAAATTTTAAAACAACATAAAATTTAATATATTAAATAATAAGAATAAAAAAATACTCCTTTCATTTAAAAATATAAAGCAGTTTTAATCGAATCTCACATCTCAATAAAGTTATTACCTATTTTTTAACTAACATTATCTTTTTATATTTACCCCTATTAAACACCCTACAATAAATATAAAGTCATTATCAATAAGGATACTTTTAAAAAAAAGTAATGATTACACTTCGAAAGAATAAAAATACTTTATATTTTTTAACATCCAACTCCTCAAAAAATGTCTTACATTTTTTAACGAAGGGAGTATAGTTTAATATTAGAAAAAATTAAAACATAATAAGGGTATCATGATTATTTATAAAAGTAGGTACAACCCAACTCCCGTTTGTAATTTTAAATCCATCAAAAAATAAAGTTGACAAATTCACATTTCAACCCCATCTCAACCCACATTTAAAAAGTCATTTTGCTCACTTAAAAATTATCCAAACAACATTCACTACTACAAAAATGACTTTTTACAGCAGTTAAAAATAATTTTTTACAGCGGTTAAATAGGTGGTATTGTTACAGGGGATGTAGAAAGTCTAACTTTCTATATCGGTTATACGATCACCATAAAAAATATATATTCTACGTTGGCTAACCATAACTGATGTAGAAAATAGTTCAACGATTGAAAAATTAAAAGCTGGAGCTCTTTCTACAGCGGTTGTGTTGGAATCGCTGTAGAAAGTCCTTTTTTTACAGCGGTTATGTTGGAATCGTTGTAGAAAGTTTGCTATTTTACACTGAATTTTACATTAATTGATGTTGAATATTAATTGCTACACCGGTTATGGTAATAACCGCTGTAAAAAGTGTATTTTGTTTTTAAAATAAACATCCGTATTTTTAAATTTACCCTACTCTGTACACAAAAATTACCACAGCCAAATCAGACAACTCAATTTATTTATAATTTTTAATATAAAATTAAATTAACAACTATCTAAAACTCAAAGTTATCTATGAACTATCTAAGAACTATATATTGAGCTATTCAAAATATTGTGTCAACAAATATTTTTAAAAGTTGTCTATAACTAACAAACTTCTTAAATTGTATGAAACTTTCTACAAAACTCACAAATTCTCCCTAAAATAAGTTGCCCAACATATATAAATGTCTTCAATTTTAGCTTCGAGGAATGGATCTGAATTGTCAAACATCTAAAATATAATTTGTAAAAGAGACTTATTATGTACTCTCAAATAACATAATAAAATAAAACTCTTAAAAATATATTTACCTCTTTTGTAAATTCAATCATACCCAATGTGATAATGTTGAGCATATATCTCATGATATATAGGCCGCACAAATTCATCTTCACTGGTTGTCTATGGCTCTATATAAGAATAAATCATAAGAAATTAATAAAAAAATCTTAGTAATTGAACCTATTCATAAAGTATAGCATTACCTTTGGCTCAATCCATGTAGGATCCTTGAGCTCATGTCCGTGCTTTTGCAAGATCACCATTTGATATGTTTTCATTGCTCTATATTCAAGATCACCAAGTTAATAACTAAAATATTTAGTATAAATTATATTAAATATTTTTGCACAAATATACTTACGAGTCTATCATCTTCTTCATTTCCTTCCTAAGTTTGTAATAGAGGGAACATAAGAAGAAAATAGTGTTTCTCTTCATTGAAAAAACAAACAACTGCCAATTGTCCCTGCAAAATATAGCGAGTTAAAGTAAATCTATATCGAAAAAATTATTAATTACAAATTGATCCTTACAAGTGCATGTATGGAGCCATGAAAACATCTTTCTGCACTTCACATATTCTTTGCTAGAGATACTAGGCCCTTAACTCCGAAGTATTCCCTTTCTCTATCATGTGATGTGAGCAAAGGAATCCGAACTTATTACCTTTGCCTGATGTGATGCACAAATGATAAAGGTACCTACAATAATGTAATTGTGTTAGATCACTGGACTTGATAATTAAGTTAATTTCATTAAAGAAACACAAACTTACATCATAAATAGTTCAATGTGTGGTATGGTAAGCCGACTATCTGACAAAAGTCCAAGCAAATCTTCCCGTTCAATTGTCACTATCATATCTTTCTTACCCACAACCTTCGGATCCATTTCTAAATCTTTAAATTTGAATGATGGATCATACGCCATTAAGATCATTTGTTGGTGTGGAGTTAACGAGGGTTTTGGAAATTTCAGGAGATTCGGCAAGAAAAGCTATTATACATAATAAAAAAGAAAGAAATAGTTAGTAAAAAAACATTTTAGGAAAGCTGCAACATAATAAAATTACATACCACAGGTTGAACCATATTCACAAGTCTCTTGGGCCACAAGATAAAATTGCCAACAACTTCTGCTACAGTTTTCACCCTATTAGTAGGGAATGAAACCAACTCGTTTGGCACTTTTGGATCTTCAACCACCACTCTTACTTGATAATCTTGAATTTGCTTATGGTGAATGGTTGACCCCAAGTTGTAAACACTACCAAGAGCAACCAAACGTCTATTAAGATCTTCTAAAAACATCTCGTATGGTTCACCAATGTTGTTACCAGAAGGATCCTCTGACACACGCTCAAGAACATTACTCCCTTTTATGTTATGAAATCCAGGAGATGTATGAATTGGTTCAGTAGGCGTCTCCTGTCGTGAGCTCATCATGCTCATCATCTCTTCCTTCATTTGCTCCTTCATTTGTAAAAGCCGGGCCTCGAATAAAGCTTCAAACTCTTCTTTAGCTTGCTATCTCACAGTGGATATCACTATTTCAAGTTCTTCTCTAGTCACTACACCTCCTGAGTTGGGGCGTAAAGGTGCTCCAAAGTAGTCTCTTATACCCATACCATGTCCAACGCCCCTCACACGACCCGAATACTCTGG